TCTCTGGCCCCCAGCACTTCATCTTTACTAAGGACATGCAATCCCTAAACACGTCCATACCCTACAGGCGCTCAGTTTTTCCCTCTCCAACAGACCCATCCAGTTGCCACCCACCAATACCCTCCTCCGCCTCGCTGAACTAGTCCTCAGCCTCAATTCTTCCCACTTTCTCTGAATCCAGAGGGTTATCATGGGTACTCGCATGGCCCCAGCTATGCCTGCCCGTTTGTAAGTTATGTTGAACTTAGTCCCTCTTCAGTATATACACCGGTACTGTTCCCAACTCTTCTGCCATTATATCGATGACTGCATCAGTGCTGCATCCTGCACCCAGGCTGAACTGAAGCAGTTCATCGACTTTGCTAACAACTTCCACCCCACCCTCAAATTCACTTGATCTATCCCTTTCCTCCCTTTCCCCAATGTAGAGGAGACCACAACGGGAACAGCAGATGCAGTATACCACAATAGCAGATGTGCAGGTGAACATCTGCTTGAGGTGGGACCGCTTTGCAGAACACCTACGCTTGGTTCGCACTAAACAACTGCACCTCCCAGTCGTGAACCATTTCAACTCCTCCTCCCATTCCGCAGACGACATGTCCATCCCGGGCCTCCTGCAGTGTCACAACGATGCTACCCGAAGGTTGCAGGAACAGCAACTCATGTTCCGCTTGGGAACCCTGCAGCCCAACGGTATCAATGCGGACTTCACAAGCTTCAAAATCTCCCCTCCCCCTACCGCATCCCAAAACCAGCCCAGCTCATCCCCACCTCCCTAACCTGTCCTTCCTCCCACCTATCCCCTCCTCCCACCCCAAGCCACACCCCCATCTCCTACCTACAAACCTCATCCCGCCCCCTTGACCTGTCCGTCCTCCCTGGACTGACCTATCTCCTCCCTAACTCCCCACCTACACTCACCTTTACTGGCTCCATCCCTGCTTCTTTGACCGGTCTGTCTCCTCTTCACCTATCTTCTCCTCTATCCATCTTCTATCCGCCTCCCCCTCTTTATTTCAGATCCCCCTTCCCCTCCCCCATTTCTGAAGAAGGGTCTAGACCTGAAACGTCAGTCTTCCTGCTCCTCTGATGCTGCTTGGCCTGCTGTGTTTATCCAGCTCTACACCTTGTTATCTCAGATTCTCCAGAATCTGCAGTTCCTACTATCTCTGAAACTCTCATAGCTACCTAGACTACATCTCTTCCTACACTGTATCCTGCAAAATCTCCAACCCATTTTCCCAATTCCTCAGTCTCTGTTGCATCTGCTCTGACGAGGAGACTTTCCACTCCCAAGCATCCCAGGATGTCTGCCTTTTTCAAACAAAGCTGTTCCCCCTGCTGTCATCCAGACAGCCCTCCACTGCGCCTCCTCCATTCCCTGCTCCACAGCTTTTAACCACACTCCCCAAACATAACAAAGATAGGGTGCCCCTTGTCCTCATTTTCCACCCCACCAGCCTTCGCATCCAACGTATCATTCTCAAACACTTCCACCAACTCCAATTAGGCCCCACCACCTGGAACATCTTCCACTCCCCACCCCTCTCTGCCTTCCACAAGGACCATTCCCTTTGCCACTCCTCAGTGCGCACCACACTCCCCAACAACCACTCGAACCTGCCCAGTACCTTCCCTGTAAACATAAAAGATGTAACACCTACCCACACACCACCTCCCTCACCTCCATTCAAGGCCTTAAGCGGTCCTTTCATGTGAGACAGAGCTTCACATGCATCTCCTCCAACCTAGTCTATTGCATCCAGTACACCCGATGTGGTCTTCTCTACGTTAGCAATACCAAACGTAGACTAGGTAACCATTTTGCCGAGCATCTTCAACTGGCCTATAACAGCCATCCTAACCTCCCAGTCACCACCCATTTCAACTCCCCTCTCCCCGCCCCACTCCCCCTTGACATGTCTGTCCTTGGCCTCCTCCAATATCACAGTGACTCAGGACCCAAATTTGTGGAACAACACCTTATCTTCCACCTGGGATTCTAATTTCAAATAACCTTTCCACCCACACCCCTTCCCAGCCCCACCTCCTCTCTTCCATTCCATTCCACCTTCTGACCCTCCCTTCCAGCCACCAACCAGATACATCCCTCCTATCAACCAATCAGGTTGTACCTACTACCAGTATCCACCTATCACCACCATTCTGCTACCCACCCCCCTTTATCTACAGCTCCCCCTGTGCCCACAGCCAGCCCTGATGGAGGGTAATACACGAAAGTTGACTTTGCCTTTCTTCCATATGCTGCCTGGCTTGCTGTGTTCTTCCAGCCTCCGGTTGTCTACCTTGGATTCCAGTATCTGCAGTTTTTTTTGTCTCTAACCAAACTTCATTCGCTATTTTGTGCTGTACAGTTTTTTGACATTCAAAACAATCACTGATAATGGCAGCGTTTTGTATTTTCTCCACGAAAATACAAATTATGAAAGCCAAAGCACTCTACAATTATAAAAAGTAAAATGCAATTGTTGAAAATCAAATAAAAAGAGAAAGTGTTAGAAATACAGTAACTATGATTGAGCTAAGTGCTGCTTAATCAGTCTTCCTTATTTCATATGTTAACTGTTGCGTGATTTCACCATTTCATTCTACTGAAAATGGTTCGTTTTGATTAATTGTGCTTTGCATTCCAAGTGCAACAAGTATCAAACTCCACTTTAGGTCTACGTTATTGGAAACATAGTACTGCTACAAAACGCAAATAACGTGTATGGAGCACGTCAGTTAAAAACCTGATGTCATCCACGTTTCAGTTGACAGCATTCTAACCGAAGTATCAAGCTTCTAGGTCTGAGGCCTCAGGCGGCTGCTTGGATATATGTGAAAGATCCTAGAACATTCTTTCAACAGAAAAGCGAGGGAGTTATCCCCGTGTCCTAGCCAATACTGATCCTTAAATCAGAATAAGTATAAATTATCTGGTCATTATCATATTGCTACAACAGTGACATTTTAAAAGTACTTCATTGGTTGTAACGCGCTTTGAGGAGCCTTGTGGTCGTGAAAAGCTCTGTACAAATGTCATTTTTTTCTCTATTCTTTCTAATACTGGTAATTAATGGCAATGTAGAAAATGAATAGGCTATCAAGTCACAAGCAAAAAAGTTTCTTTGAGCTAAACTAAACAAGTCACATCCTCGGGAGTGCTCTCAGCCAAAGAGCTACTGCATTTGGCGCAACTTTTGTTGTTAGGTAGTGAAACTGCCGATTCACCGAAAAAGTCCCTTAGATAATGAGATGAACAATAATCTGAGTTAATGGTGTCTAAATCATTGGGAAACCCTTTTATTCTCTTTCAAACAGTGTCGTGGGATTTACTTACGTTCTTTTACTTAGCGAGCTTAATATCTCCCCTGAAAAATTCAATACAGCACTTCATTGGTACCGAATAGCATTGAAGTGTCAGGCTGGATTATAAATCTCTATGACGTGAAGTTTGAGTCCAAAACAAATCTAAGATATTTCTAATCATTAATTTCTGAACATTTGTCTTTGTAAATGATTATCTCTTAAATGGCGTTAATGTTAGCTGATATATATATTTCACAATTTCAAACGACCAAAAACTTTCGCTGAGACTTTTAAACACATTTGAGTAATCGAAGTATCTTTTTGTCTTGCTGTTGTTGTTCGGTAACCGTTAGGGAATTTTGGTTATGAAATACGCGCTGAAAACCTGCATGTTAGGAAGAACCCAAAGTGCACTTGTTTTATCATTCAGTTTGCACGACAGGGCAAGGGCACGAACGATGATTATCACATGATGATGATCTGTCCACTTGGGGAAAGTACGAAGCAAATGTACTTTTTAAAGTTAAAGTAACGTCTTGAGGGAAACCAGTTAACAAGATCGCCTTTGTGATTTAAGTTATTGAAGATAAAGGCAGGAAGCGATTATGACACATTTTTCTTAGAAAAAAAGTTACATTTTGTTGGGTCAGCGGAGGCACGTGATCGGAATTACATCACATTACTGTACGTCCAGTAGTCACAAGGGCGAGACATGGAAACAGCTGATCGGCCCCATGAGGTCACCGGGTTCGCGGCGCTCAGCTGGAGGGGGCGGGCACTGCTGACGCAAACCATTCTGATGAGTCATTGAAACCGCCCAGGCCCCGCCTCCTCCAATCGTCGATAGGTCCTTTAGGCACAAGCCGTCATGTTGAGTGGCTACAGGAGCTGCCAGTCATTGTGTCACTTTGCCGTTCCGATTTATACATCTTATTTTAAAAGGTTATAGTCAGATAAAGTAGAATTTCTTGTTTTCATAATTGGAAATTTTTATTCCTGTTCGGTTAAGCTTTAAAACAAGCGTACAAAGGTATATACTGTAATACGATGGGTGCCAATAATGACGTTCAAGATACAGCAATAACCCAACCTTTCATGGTAAAACTATCCTGAACATTCTTCCATATGCTCCCATTTTAATCAGTTCCAGCGAATTAGCCGTCAAACCTTAAATCGCCATTCATAAAATGCTAAGTCATGCAGACGCAATATATTCTGGGATGTGTAGTTTGGTCATGCGTGACGTGCTCTGTAACCGTTAAACCGTCGATGCAAGAACGACAAATCCCACAAAGCAGCGCGCACCACCTCTCGGGCGATATAGAGGCGGGCACCGGCTACGCGTTCACATTGGGCGGTTCGCCTCACTGACGTACCGCTTGGAATGCCACCGGCACAACAGCTGCAATCGATTGGCTTACGTGGTTGTCAATCATGTTGCGTTACAGACCACGCCCACCCGTACCACGTCCAAAACGGTTTTAATTCCACCCCTCGCGCGGCGGCTGGAAAAAAATCGAGGCGCTGCCGAGTCTATTTGCTTCATCTTGATTGGGTAAACTGCAGCAGGAGCCGCGCCCCTCTACCAATTTCCCGTTCAGGGATTGGTGAGAGCGCTTGTCAATCAGATCCGAAAGCGTCGTGACGGTGGTAACTGTCAAGTGAAGTTAAGTGGGGAGCTGGTCGGTGTCTCACTCCATCAGTCAGTCTGATTACTGGTGCAGTGAGGGTGGACTGGTTATAATTGAGGCAAAAAAAGGATAGAGTCTCCTACCAGCGACATCGCCGGCTGACTAATTAGCCAAGGAGGAAAGCTCCGAGCTCCGGTAAAGAGGGTGATGGGCGCCGACTTGTCATTGACGAATCACCGGTTACTGAGAGGAATGAGGCACCGCTGGGACAGAGACTTTCATGGGGAGTTCGTTCACACTTCTGCAGCCTGGAGGGTGGTGATGTGAATGTGCGCAAGTTCCTGAAGTTTTCTTTAAAAAAAAGCTTGGGAGTTGTCTAGGATCCCTCTTTTAAGTGCGAAGAAAAAGACTGAAAATTGATTTCATGTCATTTTTAAAAAAAGTTCAATTCTTAAACGTCTTAACTCTTTTTCTTCCCCCCCCGACCCCGAAGAAAGATTTGCTGTCTTTGTTTAAGTGAGATTTTGTTTCAAAGTCTTTTTTTTTTTTGGTGGGCGTTTGTAATGTTCTCTTGTTAGGTAACGAAGCTTATTCTGCGTCAAGGAAAAGCAACGGCCTGTCTTTTTTTTTAAAGATCTTTAAATGTATTGAAAATAGGTAAAGGTCAAGAAAGTTCTAGAAGTGCAGCAGAATACAATCTGGGAGGAATAAAGATTTATTTTAACATTGACTTTTTTTTTAATTTAAATTGATTTAGGGAAGTGAACACTTGGCCTCCACCTCGCCTGACACAGAATTTCTGGATAAATCTTTGTTTCCATATGGTGCATATTTAATTGACCCAAATAAATGTGAGTAAATTAGGGAAATGATTCCCCGAGAATATTGTACTAATATTTTTGTAGCCGGTAGGCAGCTTATAAATTTGTTCCCTCTCTTAAATTTTTTTCGCGAGTTTGGTTGTTTGCATTTATCTTTATTCATGCTTACGCAACACTGCAGTTGAGTTACTGCCCTTAGTTTGGAACTGCAGGGAGCAGTCTAGCTCCAGTGTCATTGCTCTTGCGTTTGTTAAAATGGCCTTTCTTTCTTCCCCCCCCCCCCACTTTTTTTTTAAATATGAGAACTTCAATAGCTTAGCCCCCGTGCGATGAAAGTGCTCCAAAGTCTCCGGATAATTGTTTTATTCGTGCTTTGGGAACCGTGAATTGCCCGGAACTGAGTAAGCGGGTGAACAGAATTTCTGCGGGGCGATGAAAAGTGAGATGAGTAATACGATTTGTTATAAACCTTGGACATTTATCTGGAACTAGTTGATTCATATTTCTTACCGGGCTCCCAAAGTATGGGGTGCTCTTAATGCTGTAATTAACCATTGCTGTGTTTTGAGTTTAAACGATTTTCTCCCGAGACGTGGGGTGTGTACGTTTTTACTGCGAATCTTGTATGTCAAAAATGAACGTACTGGGAATTTATATTTTGGCAGATTCTGGGATTCTCACGAGGACTGACTAAATATGAACTGGAAGGAACAGTTTAAGAGCAAAATATTAGGTATATATTGGAGGTTATCAGAACAACTTAATCTTCAGGTGCTACTGAACGATTAATCTTGTACCTTTCCAATGGCCATTCTATACTATCCGAACCTGTAATTAAACACTAGATCTGTCGAAATAATTGTTTCAATTACAATAACATTATACATTTTAAATATAATTTTACTAAATGGGTTTTGGATCTGTCCACACTTGCTTTATCGATAATGTTTTATGTATAATGAGTTTTCAAATACTTCGCAGGGATCTCGGATTGTGTCTCCTTCCTCTCTCCTCCCCACCCCACCCAAAACTGTTTCCTGTTAAGTCACTGAATGAAAGCCTCCTTTAAAATTGGCCTATTGCTGAATCATGCATTAAAGCCAAGGTGAAGGGAGGTACTGAAATTTTTTTATCACAGTTCAGACAAATGGGGCTGGCAGACTGATTGGAATTTATGCCATATGCAAGAGGCATCTCAAGAATTCACAGCATCATAAGTTGACAGAGTAACCCACACTACTAGAAGACAGGCTGATCCAGTTTCCATAGCTACAGTACCTCCTGGGTTCTCTTCTGTTAAGCCTATGTTAGGAGGGTGTGACCTTTTTAAAATAACTACATTTAATTCCATATTAAGAGAATTGTTTTTCTTTTTGAAAACTGTATTGAGCAATGGAAATATTTTGTACACAATCATGAAATTTTAAAATAATTGAAACTATTGTCATACCTCACTTTATAAAGTCAATAAAGTGAACTTGTTTTTAAGTGATTCTAGCTTCTACAGTAAGTCCATAAGATGCTCAATACTGTGCAACTTTACCAGGGAGATAAACAAGTTTGTTTTTTTTTTGTAGGAGGATTGAATTCCATAAATTACTCTGGCTATCCGACAGCCGTTCTTCACTGGCTAGTTTTATGTCAGTGTCAAGCAGCTAAAGCTGCCAGTTGAAGAACTGTTGAGGTTGGCTATTTGCAACGGGACACTGAAGAGGATGTGAATGTGTGGCTTTGTGGGCCAGAAGGGACTTAACTGTTCTAGTCTTGTGTGAGTAAACCTTGATTACTTGGTCTGGAAGAAACATGCTTTATAATACAGCATGCTCCAATTGGCTTAATGCTCAGTTGTATAACTTTTGATTGTTGTATAAATGCACATTTATAACTTGTCTGGGTGGGGCTCTTTACTTTAGAATTCTTTTTGCAACATAAGATAGTGTGCTTAATGTCTGCATTTTGTAAGACTTCCAGGGAATGGAAAGATTTTTTTTTTGCTACACTACTTTGTTAGAAAGTGATAATCAAAATAATTACCTACTTTTACTTTACTGCGTAAACTGGAACCATACGAATTTTGTAGGGCATTCTAAATACTTCATTAGTCAAATTCCTTTGCACTGACATGTACCTCCCAGCTTATCATGTTAAAACTTGAGCTGTATTAAAGAAACAAATACAATTTAAAAAAACATCTTTGGCTTTGTATGTAGCTTGTTTTGAGTTTTTTTCAAATGTTCAAAATGGCTAGCTCATTTTGCAGCTTATGACTGGTTCTTTATAATCACTTAGAAACAAAAATATCATCATTCATATTCCCACATCAGTATTTTTCCTTTTTATTAGATCTGTGGTTTTGTGGCCAGAAAAACCAATCCTCTTGCAGCCACTTCATTTTGATGAAGCCATTATAGTTTTTAAGGAATAAATCTCTGCTGCTGTAGACAAGCAGTCCTGTATCCAACTAATCTATGCAACTGTTTTTTTTCTCTCCTTGGAGAAATAACTATTTATGTACTGCCTTGTTATCATTGGGGAAATGTCCCAAGTTGCTTGATAAAAGTGTAATCGGGCAACAACTCTCTCTGGGTCAAAGAAGAGATGTCCGAAGGCTTGATGCAGTTTACAAATTTTGAAATTTATCAAAAATTCAAGTTGCTTGAAGGTTGCCATTTTAAATGGAAAGGTTTTTTGGTTAGACAACCTCTTCCTTTTTTTAGAAACCTTATCGTACAACAAAGAATCTTAAAAGTAAATCTTAGTGCAATCATCTGTTTCAATACACTCAGACCTGTAACTTTCAACAATAATTCCAAATTTCCAGTGACCAACTTAATAAATTGCCCGAGAGCTTTTAAGTTTGGAGACTTTTTGTGGAGCAAACCAGCTAAAAACACTGACTACACACTTTCTTTCCAGACAACTTGTACTCTAAATAGCTAAAATTTCCTTGTTCATTTTATAATATGTTGTACCTTTTTTAAGTAATCTATTCTCCCAGAATACCAGTGAAAAGTGATTAGCTCCTAAATATACGTTTCACTTTTTCTAACCTTTTCTATCAGATAAATTAGTTTCTGAACTAACTTTTGTAGTTGGGTTTATCCTGGTGATTCCTCCCTTTAGGCAAATCTTCCAGGCTGGTTTAAATTCTCTAAGCCTAGTCTCTTAGGGCAAATTAACCTACATTCACGCATGGTGAATCTTGGAGACTCACTGCCTTGTGCTCTTCCTAACTCGAGTCTACAATGGCTTCTTGTGGACACTTTTTCCCCCACTCCAAACTGAACTCCATAGCCACATGAATTGCAATGGGTGTGGCACAGTGGCTGAGTGGTTAGCACTGCTGCCTCGGTGCTGGGGACCTGTTTTGATTCCAGCCTTGGGTGACTGTGGAATTTGCACGTTCCCCTGGTGTCTGTATGTTTCAGCTGAGTGCTCAGGTTTCCACCCATAGTCCAAAATTGCACCGTTAGGTGGCTTGGCTGTGCTAAATTGCCCATAGTGTACAGGAATGTGCAGGCTAGGTGGGTTGGCCATGGTAAATGTCGTTACAAAATAGGACAGTGTTAGGTCTGGGTGGGATGCTGTTTGTGGGGTCAGTGCAGATTTGATGGGCGAAGAGCTTTTTTCTGCACTGTAAGGGTTCTGATTCTAATTAACTGAAAATGCTAATTAGTCCTCCTTCAATCTTTCATTTACATTCTATCCTGCAACTAATAAACATTTTCAACACCAACAGTTTACAAAACCCTACATTCCTAACACCACTTTAAGACTTTGGAGACTAGCAATCTGACCACTGTCAGCATAGATACTTTGGACATTGTTTACCAGCATAAGCAGCTAGGTGCTTCTTTCCTCAAACAACCCAGACTCTACTTTTAATCTTTGACAGCAAGCCTGGGTGCTTATAGCACAATTCAGAATGTGTCACACGATCCCTTCACTTATCCACTTTTATAATAAAGACAATCCTAATCATTTTAAAGCCTTGCATTTGTAACCTACATAAATGGTCAAATGGGTTTCAAATTAATTGCTTCTGTATGCTGGACAGCAAAATGTTTTCAGAAAAACAAACGTTTCCAGAGGGAACTGACTGGAAAACCAATAGGGTGACTACAGAAAGGTGCATGAATAGGCTTAAAAGTATTTAAAATGTTAAAAGAAACTTGCTATAGAAATGTTGACAAGCTACTAATGACACAATTCTGACCTAACAAGTCCAATAACAAATTGCTAGTAGACTTAGTTTAATAAATTGGTAGCTACTGAGTTTGAAGCATGTCATCAATTTGATCTTGCAATTTTGTAATCCATTTTTAAGTTTTCTTTTTCCCAAAGTCCAGAAAGCCTGTTATGGAAAGTGAAAATCATGTAGCAAAAGGTTGTACACACAAATCCAAATAAATCCTTTGTACCAAAGTCACATGAATATGGTCACAGTTATCAAAGACATTACCATTCTTTGTAGTAATTGAAATAATTATGGTTTGATTATATGGCAATTTGGTGACTGAATTCTTTTGTTATTTTAATACCCTGTTCAAATTTAGTATCTCAGCATTTTGGATGGACAGAGATTTCTATTCCAATATTGTCTTTGATTTAACTTGCCATATGACCTAGACTGCATTTTTGTTTAAAAGGAATCTGTAGAAAAAACAATTGATCTCTGGTTTATGGCTCACTTCAGTCACACCCTGATAATTCAGAACCTAAATCTGAATTTGAGCCAACAGTCAAATCTAATAGCTATGCTATTTTCAGTGTTGACCTGGAAAGCTTCTTCTGCAGCAAGTACATTAATGGCTTGTGGTTGATGAATCTGAAAGACCTTTTAAGGGATTTTGAAAAAATCAAACTGAAATACAGTTCTGAATTTTTAAATTGCAAACTGCATTTACTACTTTTTATAAAAAGCACTAATGTTTTGTTTGAAACTGGTATGATGCAAGACTCTATATTTTGTGCCATTTGGTAGTTTGACTCAACTGTGTATTGATAACTGAAATGAGTTTTCTTAATAAAACTAACTATATCTGACATAAATATGCATTGCTGAATAGAACTACTGAAATGCCATCTTTAAGAATGCACCACTAATTGAATGTAGATGGTAACTAAAATGTGTAGCAGAAAGTGCCATGAGATATGTAAACCTGCAAGATATCAAGATCTAATTAACAAATTTAGTACAAAAGGTTGTTCTTGATAGAAATGTTGCAGTAAATTCCACTTGAATGGAAGTGTAATTGGACAGTAGCTTGACTTGCATAGGATTGCATGGAATGTACAAGGTAGAAATGAGTCATTCAACCCAACCAGTCCATGTTGACATCTATGACCTATCCAGACCTCTTCCCATCTTTGAAAATATGGGAATAAAAGTCACCATTGTCCCAGAGGACCATAATGCTGTGCTATCATCAGTGAGATGACTTGTGGTTTAAACAAAGGGAGTTGAAAAGATGGGACCTGATGACCTCAACTGATGCAGGAATTGAAAACCATGCAGTTGATGTCTCCTCTATTCCCTTCTCCATCATATTTGTATAGCTTTCCCTAAATGTGCCAATACTGTTTTTGGTTCAGTGGCTCCTGGTGGTACTGCATTCCACATGCTCACTGCTTTTGTGTCTGGGTATCAAGCTTTTCTCACTATTTCAATTAGCTCATCTGCATTAAGAAAAAAAAAATCTGGTAATACTTGTAAATTTTCTCCACCTGTTCTATTGCTTTTAGTTACTTTTAAATAATATCTTTATAGCTGTACCATGTTCAAATGTGGTATACCAAGGTTTGATTTTATAGCTTTAGCATAACCTCTTGTTTCAATCTTATTCCATTAGAAATGTTTTGTGATAAGTTTGCTTTTTTTGCTTTGGCTGTGCAAAGCCAGTGGTACATCTTTTAGTGATTAGTAAGCTTGCACTTGAGAGATTCTTTATCTCATCTGAGCTTTCACCTTCCAGTCTGAAAAATGACCTCCTTATCATCCCTGTCAAAGTTATGATTTCATTTGCCAATTTGCCCATTCTGCAAGTTTGTTATTGTCTTCCTGTAAATCTATCCTTTCATAGGATGTGGGCATAGCTGATGAAGCTAGCATTTGTTGTCCATCCCTAATTGCGCTCAAACTGGCATGCAGGGTCATTTCAGAAGGCAGTTGAGTCACATATTACTTTCTGCCTGGAGTTGTGTAGGCCAGTTTAGATAAGGATGGTAGATTCTCCCTGAAGGATATCAGTGAATCAGAATGGTTTCTAACACCAATCAATAGTAGTTGCTGTGGTTACCATTACTAAGACCAGCTTTATATTAAAAATTAATAAATTGTATTTAAATTCCAATCACTGCCATTGTGGAGTTTGAACCCATCTGCTAAGAGCAATGGCCTAGTGTTTGCGTACTAGTTCAATGAAAATGTAACAATACCAGCTGCTTCCAAGTTAATAACTACCTTTTTACTCTGCCAATCTTAGTTTTTTATTTGAAGCTAAATAGCACGCCACTCTGCCACTTAATCCCTGAATCTGCATTTTCTGGTTTTAATTAGACTGAAATGGGGTGTTAATTGAAACAGTTTCAAAATACTGATAAATTGTGTCTGCATTATTGCTGTCCGCTGCTTTTGTTCTCAAATTCAAATAAGTTTGGTCAGGCAAGGATTTCCCTGTTTTTTGAAATTTGTTGATTATTCATAAATGGTCAAGGATATCTAATCTCTGGATAGTCAGATTGGGTGTACTGTGAAAGTAGCACAGA